AACAAGTGCCTCGCTAGTAGTAACAAGTGCCTCGCTAGTAGTAACAATTAAATATAGAGAACTCAAAACATTACGGATTGTGTTTCGTGAATCGAATCCGTCGATGTGTCTTCAGGTGCACCATGTACATCCGATGTTACAAGGCCGCGTCCTTGTTCCTAGCGATGCCAGGAGCTACTAGTCGCGTCCTTGCTCCTAGTAGTAAGGCCAGGAGCCTTGTTCCTAGTAGCTTCTTGTTACTACTAGTAAGGCACTTGTTACTAGAAGCGATGCACTTGTTACTAGTAGCTTCTTGCTCCTAGTAGCGATGCCCTTTGTTCCTAGTAGCAAACATTGCTCCTAAGGCCAGCCTGTGTGAGCGAACCTTGTCTTTGGTGCAGGCCGCGTCGTGAGTCCGAACGCAGTTGGCGACGCAAGTTGTCGGTTCTCAGACGTCGGTTCGCAGTTGTGTTTTGACGTTCGATATGTGGAACCAGTTTCCAGAAGGAATGCTTGAAGATCCGTTCCTGGAGGCCAGCTTGTCTAATTGGGCATAAGAATAGTAGATTTCATTGATTAACATTTGTCCTAGCCTTTTTGTGGAAATGCAACTGCAGATGAAGTTTGGTCAAAATTGCCGTGATTTATCGTGACTGCTGCTTCAATTACTGGTCACATGATACCTTTCCTTTTCGTTTTTGTCCGCCCCATTGATTCATTGCTTTCATCCGATCCGTTGATTGCGAGAGGGATCGCACGAGACACATGAATGACTCCTAGTAGCTTCTTGTTACTACTAGTAAGGCCAGGAGCCCCTAGTAGCTTCTTGCTCCTACTAGTAAGGCACTTGTTTCTACTAGCTTCTTGTTACTACTAGTAAGGCACTTGTTACTAGAAGCGATGCACTTGTTCCTAGTAGCGTCCTTCTGAATGACTATTGTGTGACTACGTGGAAGAGTTGTACCATGTTGAGCGGCCCTCACAACTCTTGACAAAGTCGAGTAGGTCCAGGTCAGCTAGGCATTGAAGACATTGTTTGAATGCCTCAGTGGCCTAGATCTCAGTAGACCTCATATGCCAAGCCTTGCTGTTTCAAACGAGCGGAACATGCGTAGATAGGAACGAGCGGACGCTTCTCTCCAGGAGTCCACCGTTTCGGCGAGACAGACTTGGGCCGATGCACGTGACACAGATGCACGAGATGCGAGGGGCGTGCAGTTTCGTGCTTGTCATACACGGATGACAGGGACGTGGGGGTGAACACCAAGATTGTGAGTAATAACTTGATTTTCACTCTGTAGCCATTCTTGTCAAAAGCTTTTGTGAGCCAGCAATCTAACCAGTTCCACATCTGATGGGTGATAGTGAAGTTGCCCAACACAAGCCGTGTTCGTCATTCGTCATGGTAGTCATGGTTCCCTCCTGTTCCCCACCTTTCTCGATGCTGAGCCTTTGGCCAGCATGGCGTTGAAGGTGAGACCAACGCGATGATTGCAAGCGTCCGTGCGCAGGGCATCTACATCCTCGAGTGGCCTGACTGCCACGAAGGACCGCAGAAAAAATGTTCTAAAAAAATAGAAGACAATGGACAAGATTGCCTTGAGGAAACCAACACTTTGAAGCCTCAGTTGAAATAGTCAAGATCTCAAGAACTGTTTAGAGCCCATCTAATGTTCCTCCGGGTCATGTCACGTAGGTTGTCTTTTTTATCCTCAACCTTTTCAGACCAAAGTGATTTGAGGTCCTTTGGGAACGCAGGGCTTTCAGAGAGATTCCGCATGCTGTGGCCTCCGATGCAGCCTTGGAGACAGGCTTTCGGGGTGGAATTTGCTGGACGAATTGTATCGACACATATGACGAATTTGCAGACACGACTGTTAGAGGAACAAGAACAAACCGTATTCTACCATTGGTACTGGCTTGGGGCTATTCCTTTACTCTTGTTTCCTGATGCACGAGGTGTTTGAGGCGCAGACTGACACTCCAATTTGCAGGTCTTCTACTTCAGCTTTTACTCCTCCAAGAATGAGCGTTTAGACTCTTGGCAAGATTGGTTCGTTTGCTTCCCCAATTGGACCATTCCACGTGACCTGGTGCCTGACCACCTGCATCACTCATTCGCCGCCTGCACCATCCAGTCGTCTCATCTCACCAATGTTGAGCAGGTTTTCGTCGCCCTTTATCACAGGGAAGCTACTAGGGGCTCCTGGCCATACTACTAGCAACAAGGACGCTGCGAACAGAGCATTCCGTCCATTTCTTCCGGCAGACCGCGCTGAGGCCCGGCTCCTGCTGCGTCTGGCGCTTTCGGCGCTGCTGGCGGCGCTCGCCAGGCAGCTGGTCTTCGGCGCGTTCTCCGCTGACGCGGAGGACGCCGCACCCGAGGCTCGCAGGGCTCCGGGTTCGTGACAGCGTCACACACGTGCAGACCTTGCTCCTAGGAGCGAGGACTCTATGTGGATGACTTGCGTACAGAGTGTGTTTGGGGTCAATACCTGGCCTTAGTTTATACATTGTTCATGGGGGCGAGGATGAAAAGACCTAGAATGTCGGGGAATCAGTCCAAACTCCTAACTTGTTGTTTGAAGGTGCTCCCTTTGATGACGATGTTCCTTGTGGTTTTTCATGCGTGTGTTTTGCAGGATGTCTTTTTGTAGTTTATTCTGCAGGTCTGCGGGCAGCGGCCGGAGGGCCTGGCAGAGGCCGGGCCGGGTGGAATCCCGTTCCCATCTCAAAGACAATTTTGGTTGTGGGGGGCGAACGACCTCACATTGGGGGTAGGAAGCTACTAGGAACAAGTGCATCGCTACAAGTAACAAGTGCCTTACTAGTAGTAACAAGAAGCTCCTAGGAACAAGTGCATCGCTACTAGTAACATTGGATCTTGAGTTTCCGTGAATCTTGGCTCCACGGCTCCACGTGTCTTTTGTTAGTAGCGATGCCCGGGTTCCTAGTAGCGTCCTTGCTCCTAGTAGCGATGCCCTTTGCTCCTACTAGCTTCTTGTTCCTACTTAGAGACGGTGCGTGATGCCACGGAGGTACTTCCACTGGCCCTGATATGTCATGGCATCGCGCGGCTGAGTTCCTCTTTGTTGGATGCAGCTTGTATGCTTCAGCGTGGATGTCTTTGCTGTCGGTGGGTGGCGGTTTCACAAGGCGAGGCCGGATGAGTTGGATTGTGTCAATGTGTTGGCATCATTGGACTCCAACCTGGCATTGGACGCTACTAGGGGCTCCTGGCCTTACTACTAGGAGCAAAGGGCATCGCTACTAGGAGCAAGGATGCTACTAGGGGCGCTCCTGGCATCGCTACTAGCAGCAAAAGGAACCTCATAGGAATGGCCTAGTAGCGATCCTCCACCCTAGTAGCGATGGCCTCTATAGACCTTTCTATGGCCTCTATCTTTCTTCTTTCCATTTCTTTCCTCTCATACTTTAGAGATGGAAACATGTTTTCATGTTCAGCTGTCATTTGTTCTTGCCCAGGTCTTTAGCCATCAGTCAACGGGTGTTTCTCTCCCTCAATCCATGGAGGTTTGTTGAGCTCGGTGGTCATTGTCATCCTTTTCTTATCAAACACCAGCGATGCTGACGGCCTTTGGTGGATGTTCTGTTTCCTCCTGATCCTGCTGCTGGACCGGTGTTGGTTGGTCGGGATGGCCAGGGGCATCGCTGACGGCAGAACCTGGAGTGGTATCAGTCTTGGAGATGTCTTTGTTACTAGTAGCGTCCTCTTGTTACTAGTAGTAATGCTAGGAGGGAGCTACTAGAAGCGTCCTGGCTCCTAGTAGCGATGCCCTTTGCTCCTAGAGACTTCTTGTAGATGATCCTCATGTGCAACAGGAACAGGCCAAGGGAAACGTCATCGGAATAAGTTTCACGAAAGACTGCGTGCATCGCATGTCATTAGAAGCCTAAGGCAGTACAGGCACGGGACATGCACCTTCATGCGAGTTTTGGTTGGAAACAGAGTTAGCACTAGATCACAAAGGGTGTGCAGCAAAGTGATGAGTGTACATAAGTGTGTAGCAGTTTTCCTGTATTTCCAGGACTTAGCGCTGGTACCGTTCGTGGCGACGTTCCTTTTGGCTGCAGTTTCCACCTGCTTGGTAGATCGGGGTGTGGTGCCTTTGCTGGCAAAGATGTGGAACCGACTTCCGTACACTTGCCAAAGTGTTGTTTTATGCCTTCTGCGTTCTAAGGATAGAGGTATCTTGCCACTGATTGTTCCTATATTTGGTAAGCTAAGGAGTATAATTAAGAGCTGCTTGCAGAGAAAAAACATTAGGAAAGGAGGAAGTTGCTTGGGTCTTTAACAAGGCCGTTTTTAAAGGCCCAAGAATCTCCTGTTTTGCTTCTCTTTTTCTCCGTGTTTCTCTAAGAAAGCTCAGTTTCGGAACTGTTGTCCCTTGAGGTGAACAGCTTGCTCGAGGAGTTTCCCAATCACGACGCTCCGGTTCAGGCAAAGAAGACATGCGGAGCGGTAGCCAAACAGAACTCCTTTGGAGGTGCTTGGCGATTTCAATCGTTTCAGTTGGTGATCAGTGGCTAACCTTAAAATCGGATGAAACAAAAAAAACATCTTGCAAAAACAGATGCCAAGATGTTTACCAGAGCAAGGACGCTACTAGGGGCTCCTGGCATCGCTACTAGGAGCAAGGATGCTATTGTTCATCCATTTTCTCTCCTTCAGGCGCAGCCTGCGGCCGCGGCCAAGATCACCATTAACTCGGAGCCCTCGGTGGTTGAGGAGCCTTCAGTGCAAAATCCGTTTGGATCTTTTCTTGGACGAGGAAAATCCAACGACATCCGAAAGAAAGCATCCAGTCCAGATGGCGAAATCCATTACAAACCTACGTGGGTGCCCAAGTTTAGTGCCGAGAAGTCCCTACCCTAAAGCTTGAGTCCCAACCTAAGAAACCTTTAGGAGCACGGAGTATACTAGGAGCAAAGGGCATCGCTACTAGGACGCTACTAGGGGCTCCTGGCCTTACTACTAGGAGCAAGGACGCTACTAGGAGGTCAGGGAAACTTGTTGGCTGGCACTTGGGGTTTGGAAGAGTTCTGATCAGATAACCTGGTTGGACTGAGTTATTGACTTCTGCTTGGTGAGAGAAGGGTTGTTGGTCCTTGGGTTGAGAGGTGAAGGGTGATGCTGGGCAGCTAGGCAGTTGAAACACATGTTCAACAGGTGTGCGACGGTTTTGTACCTCTTCCATTGTCATCTTCTGGATCAAAAACATCTACCTCCAACCTACTAGCTTCTTGTTCCTATTAGTAATGCCAGGAGCTACTAGTAGCGATGCCCTTGTTTCTACTAGCGCTCTTGCTCCTAGTAGTAAGGCACTTGTTTCTACTAGCGAACATTGTTACTACTAGTAAGGCACTGGTTACTAGTAGCGATGCACTTGTTTCTACTAGCTTCTTGTCAAAGACCGGAAATCAAAAGTCCGTCGTCCAGGAGCCACACCCATCGCTGCTGAGAAGTCCAAGCAAAGATAGCAAAGACCCTTGGCTATGTCTTTGGTCCAGGGCCTGGACAAGTTTCTACCAGACAGCTATGGGTAGACTATGAATGTATGACCTAGTGTCTCTTTATATAACCTTTTCAACCTTAGAGGTAGGACGACTGGTTTCCCTAGAGGTGTCATCACATCAATCTCAGTATATCCATATATCTCAATAGTGCCTCAAAATTGCATTTTTTTTCTGTTATATTCAAGCAAACATTCAAAGCCGATTAATAAGTGCTTTCCGCTTTTAGTTTTCCTGAGTCGCTTATGATAGTGCTGGAGCGGCCCTTGCTAAGGAGCAAAACAAGGTCCATGGTGGGGGCCAAGTCCTATCGGTGTTGCCAGGCATGAACGAGGAGGCATGAGACCTGAAGGGAGTGGTGGAGCGCATTAGTGGCTCGAAGCAAGTTGACGGAGGCCATCGCTCTTAAGTTGGAGGCAGGCCAAGAAAAACGAAGACTTCGCTTGTTGAACGCCTGTGGAAGGAAGACTGGTCGGCGTCACACTTTCGAAGGGGTTTAGGTCTTGGACGGGACCATGTCCGTATCGCTCAGCTCAAAGGGTTTTTGAAGAACAGCATCAAGACTCTGCCATAGTTCCTATGGTTTCTACCAACAGCTGCTATTAGGCTGGGGGTCATTGCTTTTACGTCCATGGTTCGACCCACACCCACAACATCCAGACCTGCGCGGAATGGCGCATGCGTCGTTGGTATTGTGGGATTCGCGCTCCCAAGTTTGCCGACCAGCAATTTAAAATTCGTTTGCATATTGCATGTTGCGGGACATTTGGCAGACAGAGACATCTCAAACTTTTGGGACGATGTTCAACTCGACATTCGATTGACCTCTCAACCTCAAAAGCCCCATTGTGCCTATGGACCTGTTGGTTTTGAAGAATCGGGATGACTGATGCTAGGTCTGAGAGCCTCCAAGCATTTAAGATCCAAATACAGTACCATCAAGTTACTACTAGTAGCATCTTGTTACTAGTAGTAAGGCCAGGAGCCCCTAGTAGCGTCCTTGCTCCTAGTAGCGATGCCCTTTGTTTCTAGTAGTGTCCTCTTGTTACTGTGGTGTGTTCTTCAGATGTCCCGAATTCATGATTTGTGAGTGCACAGAGTGGCACTGTATGAGTCAGCGCAGCAACAGCTCCTGCTGTGCTCCCTCCATCCATGACAATCAAGCAGAATAAAGACAATCACTCACACAATGCTTTGTTGTTGACAGTGGTAGATGTCTTTTTCACGTCAAGCTGGATCAATGAATCCAAGCATGTCAATCATGTTAGCAAGTCTACACTTCGGTAGCTCAAAGGATTCAGCAGGTGTTGTCCTGTTCGCTTGAAGTTCGTCAGCCGGAATTGCCATGGTTCAGAATTCAGGAGTTTAGGTTTAGGTTGTCAGTGCTGGGCAACCTTGTGAACATGTTTTAAAAAGAAAACAGACTGTCTCTCAGTTCATTGCTACAAGCCTACTGTTCATACACATCCTTGTTTTGAGGTTGCCTGTCCTGACCGGTTTTTTGGCACGCCAGTCGCAACCCGCTGAAGAGCCGGTGTCAAACTGCGACCCTCTTTGCCAATGCGACAGACCGAGAGGCGCAGCCCTGACGAAGTCAGGTGAGGTGCCGGGCCGAGTTGGGCGAGCTCGGGGTGCGAACAGCACGAGGAAGACAAAGAATTCATTTTGTTCCTAGGAGCTTCTTGTTACTACTAGTAAGGCACTTGTTACTAGTAGCGTGGCACTTGTTTCTACTAGCTTCTTGTTACTAAAGAAGAGGAAGATACATGTCTTTTTTGAAATGAAAAGTCTAAAGAAGAAAGGTTTTTGGACCTGTCAGATAATCAGGTGCCGTTCTATCACAGATTGTCACCAGAGGTGACCCATGTTGGATCTTTCCCCTCCATCTTCTTACTTTAAGGCATGAGGAGTTCCATGGTACTATTGTTGTGACAGGCCTTGTGTCCGATCTGAGGCAAACGCTCCGACGGTGCGAGAACCAAAATATAGGTCAGATGGGTTTCTAATAGCTTCTTGTTACTACTAGTAAGGCACCTGTTCCTAGTAGCGATGCACTTGTTACTAATAGCTTCTTGTTTGAACTCGCAAGCCGTGGATCACTAGGAGCAAGGACGCTACGTTCGGAGCAAAGGGCGTCGCTACGAACGGAGCAAGGACACTGGTGACGCTGTTCGCAGCTTCCGACTTTGCCAAATGGCAATCAAGTCGTCAAAACATGGCCGCGTGGCTCCGGAGGTTGGGTCCTGAGAGGTCAACAGGGTGATGAAGCACAGGTGAAGAGACTTGAGCCATATAGCATCTAATGGCGATGGCCTCCAACCTAGTAGCTTCTTGCTCCTAGTAGTATGGCCAGGAGCTCCTAGTAGCGTCCTTGCTCCTAGTAGCGATGCCCTTTGCTCCGAACGTAGCTTCTTGTTACTAGTAGCGATGGCCTCCAACCTCACTTCTTTGACTCAATCTGTGGTGAAATATATTAAAATGCTCTTTGGCTACCAAGCCACGTTGGCTACCCAACGGCAAGGCTTACCAAGGTCAGCCCCTGAGTATCTATTGCGAGATCAAACCATTTCTCTCGTTGAATCGTGGAGATGAGGGCCACAAAGCCTCAGTCCTCCCAGCTCCTCTGCTTCGATGGTCAGATCCCATCGAATCTGTTCGCGACAAGCTGAGCTCAGAAAAGACGCCAAGCTTTGACGGCCAATGCCGCTAGCTCGGGCGCCCCGCCATGGCGTGCGGCTCTTGGCGGCGCTGGCCGCCATGAGGCGCACGAGACGGAGACGATGCCCTTTGCTCCTAATGGCGATGCACTTGTTACTACTAGCGATGCACCTGTTACTAATAGCTTATTGCTCCTAGTAGCGATGCCAGGAGCCCCAAGTAGCGTCCTTGCTCCTAGTTTCGGAAGTGTTGCTGAAAACTAATACTTCTCCCATTTTGCCAGCGCAAAAAAACATGATGCATTCGTGCGCAATATGAGTGGCCACGTCTCATGCAGTACGAAATCCTTGGTTAATTTTCAGATGAGCTCAGTATTTTGGTTGGCTACAGTATGCATCTAGCTCCAGAGTGGTTTTTTGTGGTCGACACTTGTGTGTTGTTTCAAGGATGAATTCGGAGATCGTCCAGTCGTCCAGCGACTGATTCTTGCGGTTCAGGTCCTTGACTTTCGTGGACGTTTGGCCGCAGATGTCCTCCAGGTGGCTCTGGGCTGTGCCGTGTGGGAAGCAGAGGTTCGTGGACTGTTGCAAACCACGATTAGGGAGTTGATGCCTTGCGCCTTGTCGAATAAGTTGAGGTCGAACATTTCAGATTTACAGTCAACAAATCAACGAACCTTCACGAAACTTGCGGGAGGGTGAGATATGGGGAGGGTGTATTGCTGTGCGTTGTGGGTTGGATGTTTTTTGGCTGCATAATATACTCTCGGTTCTATTCATGCTGCTCTCTATATATATATATATATTGGGCTTTGCCCCGGCACAGTAACAGTGACCACAAATCATACCACAAAAAAAAGCACAGCAATTTAGCCATAGTTGGCATTAGGATGACTTTCATTTGCCCTTTCTAACGCTGGCTACATTAATCATGTGCTACAAAACCCTCAAGTCAACCCGATGCCTTTTTTCATCTGAGCGCAAGCAGTGAAGAAATGATCGACAATATCGATCCAGTCAAAAAGGCTTGGGGATTCTGCTGCCAGACAAAATGAGCTGGGCAGAGCTGGGCTCTGGCAGGCCGGGTAGAAGGGGAGGCAGAGGCCGGGCAGGGCGCCGGAACTGTGGGCGGCCCCGGTGTTCCAGGCCCGGGGGGGGGCGGGCTGCCCTTTAAAACAAAAGAAAACTGGAGGCCCGCTATGTTTAAAAGGAAAATGAAACACAAAAAAGCACAAAAAAAAGCACAAAAAAAAGCACAAAAAACACACAAAACCGACCACAACTTAGTGGATTTTTTTTGTGCTTTTTTTTGTGGTCTGATTTGTGCTTTTTTTTGTGCTTTTTTTTGTGGTATGACTTGTGGTTTTTTTTGTGCTTTTTTTTTGCGCTTTTTTTTGTGCTTTTTTTGTGGTATGATTTGTGATTTTTTTTGT